CCGGTATGCAGCGGCAGAACGAAGGCCCCCGTCGCCGACCCCGGGTCCCGGTGTCCCAACAAACATTCTGATCTGTTTGTCAGCGTTAATGGGCTGCTCTATATTCTTGGTTCCTCCTCCTTTTGCAGGACTGAGGCCATCCGTCTTGAGAGATGAGATCGCGGGCCGGCTCTCGTCGGCACCAGCATCTGCCTCGTCGCCGGTGTGCCGTGGACACCCGTCCCCCCAAACGGGGGAGACTGGGTTCGCCGCGGCCAGGGGCGGAGGCGGGGACGGCTGTGTGCAGGGTGCCACCTGCCAAACGGAGGCGGGAGAGACGGTGAGTGGAGAAAGCGTTTCCTCACCAGTTGTCACCCTGCCTGTTGACGTGGCCGATCAGCGGCCGAACGGGTCACCCTTTGGGAGAGATAGCGCGAGAAGGCTGCTCCTAAACGTTTTGAGGGGGCAACATGTGTTGTTGTTGCTGGGGGTGCTTCGTGTGAGGCAGGAGCTGATAGGTCCTACATGGCTGGTCGGTGCTGGAGGATGTAGTCGTTCGGGCGGCGCCTTGCGAACTCCAGGCACCCCTTGGGAGCTGCAATCCCCCTCTCCCGCTCTTTTGCTGGCCTGTCAGTGGTACATTCTTACCTGCTGATAGCGTCACCCTCGATAAGATACGCCTCTTTGTAGCAGAGGGATTTAGTCGCATAGCTTCCGAAGGACATAAGAGTCGGCATACAGCTGGACCGGGATGCGATCAGAGTGTCTTACCTTGGGGCAACTTCGCTTTTGACAAAGGAAGGAGTATATGCACCTCACACACGTTTCCTCCCCCTGCCCCCTTGGTTGCCATGATCTCGGGACACGCTTGTGTACTCGGCGGACGCGACGAAATTTACTTGTTTTCCCCGGGACTCGATGGGATACTGTCTGTTTTCTCCAGGTGCCGCGCGGGAGGACACCCGAGGATGCTGCTGCTGCTGCTGCTGCTGCTGGTTCTAGTGGTGGTGGTGGTGGTGGTGAGTTGACCTTTCGTTCTGGAGATGTGCCCCGTGTCTCACGAGAGTCGAAGAGGCACGAGAAATTGCAGCTGAAGTCGTTTCTGCAAGCTGGAACGATTGGAAGCTATCGAGTGACGTGCTCGGTTTGTCGTACCGTCTAGGAAGCGTTACCTCTGGCGGGGGCGGCGGCGGTATGCAGCGGCAGAACGAAGCCCCCGTCGCCGACCCCGGGTCCCGGTGTCCCAACAAACATTCTGATCTGTTTGTCAGCGTTAATGGGCTGCTCTATATTCTTGGTTCCTCCTCCTTTTGCAGGACTGAGGCCATCCGTCTTGAGAGATGAGATCGCGGGCCGGCTCTCGTCGGCACCAGCATCTGCCTCGTCGCCGGTGTGCCGTGGACACCCGTCCCCCCAAACGGGGGAGACTGGGTTCGCCGCGGCCAGGGGCGGAGGCGGGGACGGCTGTGTGCAGGGTGCCACCTGCCAAACGGAGGCGGGAGAGACGGTGAGTGGAGAAAGCGTTTCCTCACCAGTTGTCACCCTGCCTGTTGACGTGGCCGATCAGCGGCCGAACGGGTCACCCTTTGGGAGAGATAGCGCGAGAAGGCTGCTCCTAAACGTTTTGAGGGGGCAACATGTGTTGTTGTTGCTGGGGGTGCTTCGTGTGAGGCAGGAGCTGATAGGTCCTACATGGCTGGTCGGTGCTGGAGGATGTAGTCGTTCGGGCGGCGCCTTGCGAACTCCAGGCACCCCTTGGGAGCTGCAATCCCCCTCTCCCGCTCTTCTGCTGGCCTGTCAGTGGTACATTCTTACCTGCTGATAGCGTCACCCTCGATAAGATACGCCTCTTTGTAGCAGAGGGATTTAGTCGCATAGCTTCCGAAGGACATAAGAGTCGGCATACAGCTGGACCGGGATGCGATCAGAGTGTCTTACCTTGGGGCAACTTCGCTTTTGACAAAGGAAGGAGTATATACACCTCACACACGTTTCCTCCCCCTGCCCCCTTGGTTGCCATGATCTCGGGACACGCTTGTGTACTCGGCGGACGCGACGAAATTTACTTGTTTACCCCGGGACTCGATTGGATACTGTCTGTTATCTCCAGGTGCCGCGCGGGAGGACACCCGAGGATGCTGCTGCTGCTGCTGCTGCTGGTTCTAGTGGTGGTGGTGGTGGTGGTGAGTTGACCTTTCGTTCTGGAGATGTGCCCCGTGTCTCACGAGAGTCGAAGAGGCACGAGAAATTGCAGCTGAAGTCGTTTCTGCAAGCTGGAACGATTGGAAGCTATCGAGTGACGTGCTCGGTTTGTCGTACCGTCTAGGAAGCGTTACCTCTGGCGGGGGCGGCGGCGGTATGCAGCGGCAGAACGAAGCCCCCGTCGCCGACCCCGGGTCCCGGTGTCCCAACAAACATTCTGATCTGTTTGTCAGCGTTAATGGGCTGCTCTATATTTCTTGGTTCCTCCTCCTTTTGCAGGACTGAGGCCATCCGTCTTGAGAGATGAGATCGCGGGCCGGCTCTCGTCGGCACCAGCATCTGCCTCGTCGCCGGTGTGCCGTGGACACCCGTCCTCCCAAACGGGGGAGACTGGGTTCGCCGCGGCCAGGGGCGGAGGCGGGGACGGCTGTGTGCAGGGTGCCACCTGCCAAACGGAGGCGGGAGAGACGGTGAGCGGAGAAAGCGTTTCCTCACCAGTTGTCACCCTGCCTGTTGACGTGGCCGATCAGCGGCCGAACGGGTCACCCTTTGGGAGAGATAGCGCGAGAAGGCTGCTCCTAAACGTTTTGAGGGGGCAACATGTGTTGTTGTTGCTGGGGGTGCTTCGTGTGAGGCAGGAGCTGATAGGTCCTACATGGCTGGTCGGTGCTGGAGGATGTAGTCGTTCGGGCGGCGCCTTGCGAACTCCAGGCACCCCTTGGGAGCTGCAATCCCCCCCCCCCGCTCTTTTGCTGGCCTGTCAGTGGTACATTCTTACCTGCTGATGGCGTCACCCTCGATAAGATACGCCTCTTTGTAGCAGAGGGATTTAGTCGCATAGCTTCCGAAGGACATACGACCCCTGTCCCCTTTGTTGCACCCCCCCCCGAAGTTTGCCATCGGCCTTGGGATTTCGTCGCTTGGCAACGACGTTGTAAAACATGCCCCTCCCCCCCGGTGTTTGCCATCGGGCATGGGCTGTCGTCGCTTGGCAGCGATGTTGTGAGACAAGCCGATCACGTCGTGAAGCTCGGCAAACAGGTTACAAGTTTTGTGTTGGGCAGTAACCATAATGATGGTCGAGTTGATTATGTTGTGCGGGGTCGAGAACCTTCAATCCGTGCAAAGTTTGATGTTATCGCACCACGTTGTGGTAAATTGGTCGAGCACCCTCGAGGCAGTTACACAGTGCTTGCAACTGTCTCTGGAAGTGAAACTTCCAGAATATATATACAGTCATAAGCAGCTGTCATCCGTACGCAAGGAAGTAAGCACAAGACGCCGAACACCCTTAGCAGGATGCGGCGCAGCCTTCGTGCGACTCGCCGAATACCTCACGGTGCTTCGCGCTTGGTGATGTGTGAGCCTGGTTTGGTGAGAACCCGGCGTGCTCCTTCCCGGCGTTGCAGGGATGCGAGGTCAATTGTCTAACGACTACGGCATGCATACACCCCCCCGTTCTGCTCCAACGGCACCGTACCCGCCGTTGACCCACTTGTTAGTTATATCGCATGCCTCGCTGCTTACGTCCTCCACCTTGACAGACATGCATGACGACCCGTTCGTTCTTTGCTGTTTGAAGAATGCTGTTCCGATATCATTCAAGAAACTGCCAACTCATGTGGCGATCCGTTGAGTTTGACCGTTTGTTCTGCTGAAGGGACGTATCCCTGTTGCATGACGAATCTTTGGTTCTGTCAAGTGCTGAAGGAAGGTATGCCGGCTGTGTGTTCATGGCATCTGTAACTTTTCGCTTTGGTTTACCATTGGTGCTTCGGGCCCGCCCCAGCCAACACGGACGGCTAGGTTGATTCTTGATACCGCCTGTGATTCTTCGGGTTGTCATCAATGAAGTGGTCGTTGTCCTGCTGTGTAATTGGTCTTGCAGGGCGAAGGGTCGGGTGAGGGTGACGCCCGGATTGGAGGGGCGGTGAGGGCGGTGGTCGGGCTTGCGGTAGCTAGCGGTGGGTGCGCTGCTACCGCAGCATCTTGTCCGGTTACCGCCGGAGCCGTCGCCAAGAAGTTACAGAAGGACACCCGCCAATGGGTTTTGGAGATGCGTGATGGCCGGAAGGCGAAAAAACAGGGAAAAAAGGAGGAAAAGAAGAGAAGGGAGGAAGAGTCGGCAGCTCGTCGGCGACGTGCTCAAAAGAGCCAGCCAGCGTCTGCGGCCGCCGATACTCCTAAGCACGGCGGCGGCGAAAGCGCCGGGGCAACCGCTATCGTGAAGCCGAAGGCAGCCCGGCACAAAACCTCCGACGAGCTCGCCGTTCTCGCTTTCCAGCGACGCCGAGGTGCCATTCACGGGGAACGGAGGGACCGCGGGTCGACGACCTTCCGTCAACACCGCCGGGTTTGGCGTTGGGGTGGGCTCGGTCTTGCAGGTACAAGAACGAAACAGTAGCCTGAAGGCAGTCGATCGTTCAATCGTTGCCGGTGGTTTGTGCTGGTACAATTGATTTGGCATGGAGGCATGCCTTCACGAGACGCTTCATCAGACCCACGCCAAGAAACTGTAGGATGACGGTTAAGGTTAGACTACCCATACCCGGTATTTCTCTCCCTTTCGTTCTCTCTCACGAATAGTTGATCTCTAACCAGAATGGGTTGTAAAATTACACAATCTTTCGTACACCCAATTGCGCTTCACCATATGCCACACGAGCACTCGCTTCCGCTTTCAGCCCAAGCAACCGCCGCCGTCTCGTTTCAACAGCACCGCACCCCCCCGTTTCCCACGCGCGCCCCGCAGAAGCCATCAGTAGCCGCCGCCGCCGTCGCCACCGCCGCCACCACGGCCGCCACGAGCCCCACCGCCGACCCCGCCGCCACCGCCGCCACAGTCAACACCGCCGCCACCGCCACAGCCTCCGCCACCACCCCCGCTGACACCGCTGCCGACACCGCCACCCCCGCCACAGCCCCCACCGCCACGGACGCCGCCCCCCCAGCCACCGCTGCCACAGCCAACACCGCCGCCACCGCCCCCGTCGACACCGCTGCCGCCCCCACCGCCGCTGCCGCCGTCACGCCCACCGATGCTAACACCGCCGCCACCACCACGACCACCCAAGGTAACGCTTCCTAGATAGATATAGCAAATTTAGCCCGTCGCTAGATAGTTTTTTATCGTCCCAGTGTGCAGGAACGACTCCAGCTGCAACTCCTGCTGGACCTTCGACGGAGAACACGTCTCCTGAGACACAGGCAATTGTTCCTGTTGAGAAGCACGATGACCACTACACCACTAGTCAGCGCTGACTTGGGGTGTAGTGGCTCATCGTGCTTCTCAACAGTTCCTATCGACCGGCCAATTGCTCTTGTCGGCGAAAGAAAAAACATTTGGCGTTGCTTTTTACCACGCACCTGGGAAATATTATCGGCCATCCTTTATGGTGTCCGCACGGGCATTGCGAAGCCATTTATACTGTAGTCTTCACAATATCCTGTGGAGTCGGGGGAACTCTTGGTCCAGGGTAGCTTGTCTTTTCCACTGGACGGTTCCGAGAATCTCGGTGACCCCGCACTACTACATGCTCTCTTCTGCGACCTTGTTCGGCATTGTATGCTTCCATGCCGAGACGTTCCACATCTGTTGTCGTTGGTGTCTTGCAGGAGCCGCACTATCCTCCGGGAAAAATAACTCCGAGATCTCCGGCGGTGCATCGTCGGGCGGGGCAAAGCGGAAGCCGCCGGCTCGACCGCTGCTGGGCGCACCCAGCAAGAGGTGAGTGCTCGTCAAGCTACTGTAAGGCATGGTTCTTTCATGCACGGCAGTAGAGCCTACTATCCAACACGGAGGCGTTTTCTTGGGTGATGGGGCTCCCAGCCGCGTGCGTGCTTGTAGCCACCGACGTACCACGACTTCGAGCCTCGCTGTGGTATAGCACCAACCCACAACCTTAGTTTAATGTCGTCGTCTTGCTGCTTTGCCGCTTAGCCTCGTAGTAATCACATAGCGTCATGGGGGCGACTTCAGTTGTCCCAGGGCGGTATTGGTCAACGCGCAAGAGAGGTGCAATGTATTGAAATCAAGTGTCACGAATCGAGGGCACCTACCTACCTGCAGTTGTCACATATCGTGGAAACCTAGCGCCCGGATCCAGATATTGAAGGCTGGGGTGCTCTCGATCTATCATGCTGACGTACCTTCGCACGCCTCTCTCGGTCCACATGACCATACAGCACGCTTTCTACGACGAGGTAGATTGATGCAGGTCTTCGCGAGTTGACCTGACTACTGCCCTATCGCCGACCGCCTGGTTGTCCGTGCGCCCACGACTCCTCGCTACAGGGGCCTCCAAAACAGCTCGTCAGCCAATTTGTGTTGCGTAAATGCAGTCTTGCAGCTGCTACGCCACTGCCCGCAGCTTCGCGAGGGGCTATCGGCCTACCCCAGGACCTTCTCCGCCACCAACGCGCCCGGCAACAGCTCGACACGCGGTGAGATGTGGCAGATACATATGTGCCTTAGAATACCCTTGCTTTCCTGAAGCTAACTAAACCGGCAACCACACGCCAAGCACGTGCGTCGGAACAAACAACAAGAGCGACATCAGTAACAACAACGTAGAGGCCGCGGAACCGCTAAATCGGTGGATGCATGCCGCGCCACCGGAGATTTCGAAACAGAGAAACACTGGGCTCGAAATGCGGACATATCGTCCTAAGCCTACTGACAGAAACCAATCTCGCTAGAGTATGTGGCCAACCATATCGAGCACCTTGCTTGCCCTCATCCCACACACCCATGAACGAGGTCGGCAACGAATGGGAAGTCAACATCCTTTTCCTCGTACATACGGCACGTGGAAGACTGAGGCTTGGGAGTTTCTTCATCCAAGACCATTTGTTTCCACTTCGACGTCTCCCTCTCCCGCCAGAGCGGAGTTTTCACGCTCTCTCGTACGGTCTTATCATGTAGCGAGGTCGTTTCAGTGTAGATCTGGAGAACTATGTCCTGGCCAACGTGAGCCCGGCCAGTGAAGCAACAGGCGCTGCTGTAAGAAGGACTTCCTCCGGTTGGTACGCTTCTCTCGCTTTTTCTCTTTCTCACACACACACACATTTTGCATGGTGTTCTCGATCGCGCGCCCTTCTGATTTCTTCTGTTGGCACAACTGGCCGAGCAGCAGCCAAAGAGAAACGTGAGAAGCAGTTGGCTACTCGAGGGATGGCCATGTTGATGAAGGTGAGGTGGGCTTGCCGTCTATATCGTCCCCCGCATCAAGAACACTTCCGGGTCGATTGAACGGTAGCCGAGATGCAAACGGATGACCGAAAGGACGCGTCGTGGAGGGCATCGGCATTATTTACGCAAACACGATCAGCAGTTATTCACATGAATTTTGTGCTGGTGGGTTTGTTTGCTTATTGCTTCTGTGTTTTTCGGGGGTGCCACATGAAAAGAATCCGCTCAACACCGGCCGGATTTCTGCGGAGCAACTTCCACCTCTCGACGCTGCTGCCGTTGCTAGTTGCGCGGCTGATTGTGCCCTCTCTTCGCCCGCTCTGTTCTTGTGATTGAAGGGGATGGATATCCCATCGAGAATAGGTGCCTGCCACGTACACCCATCTCTTGCAAACTACATCTACAATGAAGATGATGTGAGTTTCGGGTAGATTGTCCTGTCCTGTCGCTGAAAGCTTGCTTCACCCCCATCCAACGCAGGTATGCCATATAGAGTGCATGGCACTTCTGTGGTGCTCCCAGTCCTTCCTTCACACAAAGACCATAGCAGTATACATTGATCGATCGATCTAGGCTTCAACGCGTTGTCCCGAAAGATCTTTGCGAGATCTTCACTTGTCCTTTGAAAAATACCCCACCGACCGGCCCGCTTGTCAACTGGTAGAATAACCCAATCTGCATACGTGCTCATCATCGGATACACTGTTTTTACTGCATCTGGTACCCACAAAGGATAACACACACCACTGCCCAAATGTCCTGGGACGAGAAATATTCTAGCTCTCTAGGTCCATGGCACTGGTGTTCGGGGCATTTATCTGCCCCGTTCATTCTGTCCACAAGAGAGGCGAATGTACTTACAACTATGTACACGGTTTGGAGGTGGGAAGATCGGCCCCGCCCGCGAACGTCTCCTTGGTAATTACACAATCTCAAGCCTAACCTGCACCCCCTTTTCGTCCGTTCTTGTTTCTGACAGCACGCGTATCGAGTACATACTACGTTCCCAATGTAGAGTAGAATTCAAGAAATAGAGTCAGACATTGACTCCAGGCCAGAGGTTTAGAGTCGACCTGTCCAATCCCACCACCACGATCAGCTCTCCCACCAACTTCGTCTTCCGTTTCTGATGTTCGGCAACTTTTGACGCCCTGATCGTTTGACGTGACAGCTACAACGAGGCCAGCAGGGGGATGCTCACCTAATCCTCATGAAGCTCCTAGACGCGCTTTCCGTAGCTTCGGAGAGCGGCGGAACGGTGAGAACGAACACATGGCCAACTTTCCAGGTTGTCTTGTTCTGCTGCACCGTTGTTGTTGTTGAGGGCTTGGGCGGATGGTTCTTCCGGGCTAGCGCGGAAGCCTAACGACAGGTCCATGCTTCCTCACCGACTCTGGTAATCTAATGCCGCTTGTGTTTTAACGTCGGGACGTAACCCATTGTCGAAAGGCTGGCTTGAAAACAGCATGACACGGCCTAGGTTGGTCGTTCTTGCTGGGATTCGGTCACCCTGCACAAGCGTGCGCCATCGTCGACCCGGCCAGTCACTGCTGTAGATCTCTCTTGTTTGCTGGGACAGGACTTTCGTACATTGGCGTGGAGGTCTTGGCCTCATTTGTGCACCTAATGCTGCAAGTGGGACTTTTCAAACGTATGACTGCATTTGTTTTGCCAGCGTTACATGTGTTATTCCCGACCGATGAACGTGCGGCAGTATCTATAGTGTCGTAAAACTCCGACATTGAATGGGAGAGCTGCGCTTCTTGTGTCATAGACTAGGTCTAGTTGTCCCCGTCCGAACCTTCGACTACATACATGTAGCTTGCTGTTCTAGTTGAATGTGCTCATGTGCGGCTCTTGTCGCAGACCGCTCGATTCTGTTATATTCCGTATATCAACGTTGCACGCTTCGATCTGTCCAACAAGCTGCTCTCAAGGGTTGCCTGTAGCCGCCAAAGGCTCCACGGGGGCGACACACCTTTCACCAACGCCTGCTTGGTAATTCTTCATGGTGTGGTCATTTTTCTACGGGCCGTGCCGATCTATTGCGGTCGTTCGACCAAATGTCGCGCTGTACGTCTAATATCTACTCATATGTCGCAGTTTTTTTTTTCCTGGAGTTGGAAGCACGACTGCGCAAAGTAGCGGCCACTCACTCCGGAAGATCCTTCCAGATCGCACCCCTCGCCTCCACCCCCCGCAACGTTCAGCTGTTCAAATCTTCCTTTCCGCCTATCAGTACCGTCATCGTTTCAGCCCACTCTTAACCCTGCGTTTGGCTTCTTCAGGCCGGGATGCTGTTGAAAGAGGCGGTGTGCGGCATGACGCCTACGGTGGCCACGCGGCGTGTGTGCAGCTGCGGCCATGTAAGCGAGGGTGGCGGGGTAGTGATGCCTGTGTGCCGCCAACGCCAAAAGTTGTCGTTCCCACATCCCACAACTCTGGTACCTCAGGAACCCTCACGCATCAAAATCACGCCGAGGTTGGTTGCCCTCGACGTGTAACACTCACGCAAAGCCGAGTCACCACGACGAGCCGTGTTGACAGTCACATGTTTGAAGCGAACGCCTAATCTCCTGCTGCGTGGTCACATCTCTGTGCTTGACCAAGTGCAAGGCTAGGGCCACGGCGTAGAGCCTACAGTATGTCTGGGCACCCTCGTCCTGAAAGAGCGGCCGAGATCACTGAGTGTTCTTTCACCCCTACCATCCCCGAAACCACGCACAACCTCCTCTTTCACCATCGTTACCTTGGCGCTGTTCCACGTAAAACCATTTTCGCTGAAACGTAGACGTTCAAACGCTCACCACACGTTCAGGTGTCGTCGGGGAAGGACACGAAGGAGCACACCTTGACGGTTCCTTTATTGTCTGCTGACGGCAACGGCAAGCTGCCTGGGGATGTCAAGGCGCTTCTTACGAAGGTACGGATTTCATTCCGTTGTAGCGTTTTCGTGTACAGTAGTGCCACCGCCGCCTTCTTCGTCGTCGTTACTGTTCGAACCGCACCGATTTCAAGTTCAGTACTTTTTTTGTCGATTCGGAGCAAGAGGACACAATTAAAGCGCCGAGTCATGCCGGAGCAACATGACATCCCCCCTTGCTGCTGCGTGCCCCACTTGACCCAATCTCCTGCTCTACAGAAGTTCGCCACGACCAGCCTCTCCCCGTGCTACGCATGCCAGGGACTCGCCGAGGTATTATTCCGAGCCCGGTATCGCTTTGTCAGTATCTACCTGTGAATTGTTGTCCGTCCGGCGTGCCGTATTCGCCAGGTTTCAATTAGTCCGCTGTGGTCAGTTGTCTGCGATTGTACTTGCTATTGGTTTCGCTAGGTGTAGGCGGGTGAGTGCTGGCGGGTTGGTTCTTGTGTGAAACCGGGGGTCGGGGGAGAGACCGGGTAGGCGAGCTCTGGCTTAAATCAAGATTGCAGGAGCTGCGTGTGCTCAGCGGAGGAGGAAGAGACTCCGCCCGCGACCTCTGGGGTATCGCAGGTCACCTTCCCAGAGGCGAGGTGTTGCGCGGTGGACTCCTGTAGACGTACAAATGTATGCGATTTCACGACAACACCGAAAATGCCATGGTACTGTCGGCTGAGGGCACATATCCTGGGAGACGTTGGACCCTGCTTCTCAATCCATCACATAGGCTTCAGCTCCACTTTTTCGTACTGATACGCCCCTGCACTCAAGGTGCGAGCCCACAAGGGGGAGTGGTTGGAGATGCTGCGGCATCAGATGGGAGGCACCACGTCGGTGTCGGAGTCGGTCGAGGCACCGCAGACGGCGGAGCACGCCTGCTTGTACGACATCGTCGAACTTCTCCTTGACCAGGTTTGCGATGTTGCTGTTCCGGTAACTCAGTGAATAGGTTGCGTCTTGTGTACCGGTTGTTGGGTTTTTACAAGCACTTGTTGTTGGTGCTTTTCACCACAGCTTGAATCCGTCCCGTTTACAGCCAATGTGTGCCCCGTTTCGAAGAAGCCCGCCGTCTGCTCTGGACAACGGTGTGACTACCGATTGACATATTGCCTCTCCCTCGGCTCTCAAAAGATGGCCTGCTGTCTCGTATGTGCACCTCTTTTCGTTTTGAATTCCTCACTGTTTTTTCTGGTTCTGATCTGCTTCCTTCCTGTGGTGGTTTCAAGTTGTGTGCACTGAGCTGCTGTAGCTTCACCCAAGCTGCCCATACTTTCTTCTTGCCCACGACCGAACCCTGCCCAACGCCGAAGCCTGACTTGCATAGCTCCGCTTTGCAGCGAACAGCCCACACTACGCCGTCAGTGGCCTGGGTGACATCTGTTCTGTTTCTACATCGGGTGGGAGAGAGTGAACGTTGGATGATGTGCTGCTTTGTTTTCTTTTGGGGGGGGGGCAATAAAGGTTAAGGTCCGTTTCATACACAGCGGTTTGCTTCCACATTTCCAAACTTCCAGTGCCGACTTTCCAGGTTTCCTTTCGAAACACCTCGTTCCATATTTCCTGTGAGAGTAGGGTTTTTTTCCCCGGGCCGCACATCGATATTGAACGGTCCATGGGTTTGGAAATTTGGAAGTTTGGAAGCGCACACAAGAGCTACTGTTGAAAACGGCCCTAAAACTCGAGCGTCACTTCAACTCAAGCCTTGTTTCTCTGCATCCCGGACTTCGCGACAACGCCTTTCCTGTCTAATACCGCTCATTTTGATGTGCGGCGCGATCGATACTCGCAGACGATGGCAATGCTGTGTCCTAGGCTCGAAGGAGAGTCGAGCGCAAGGAGACAAACGATGGAATCAGCGGCATCTCGGCTGCGGGTAAGTCATTGTTGTTTCTGCACGCACGCACGGCATTGTCCCTGTGGCGTTCTACTCGGGTAATTCGCATGGGGTCTCTGGTGTGTGGTCGCTGGGCACTTTTGGCGTCTTGTGGGGAAGGGTGTCCGGCTGTAGCCACACCCTCTGGCACTAAAGCTTTGTACGAAAGGCTGCGAGTCGAAACATGTTGACAGATCTCGGTCGGCCTATCCTCTCGCCGGACCTACCATGTCCACACCCCTTGAGGTTTCTGTCGTAAAAACTCGTGCGGAAGCCTGAGTTTCACAATGCCCGGTGTCGATTGTCGTGCTTGTTTCAGCCAATGCAGGTCTCCCGAAAAGAATGAATGGAATTAAGTCGTGTTTTCAGTGTGGCAGCCGTTTTCAATCAGTGCTTGGGGCTTCGGGCGAATTTCGGCTACACCTGTGTGTCTCGGTTCGCCCTTCACAACTCTCCCGACAATAACGGCCAGGGCTGCGTATGTTCGACACCTCCATAACCGTGTTTCGCTGTGCTACTTGTGTGCTGCCGGTCCACCTACAGCCAATACTCCGTTCAGGAGGGGCGGAGGACGCGATCGAGACGACTCTGGGGGGGGGTGTGGTGGACGACGCGATGATCCTGTTGCTGGAGGTATACTGGTCATTCTTCTAAACCCCCGATTATGAGTTGTTTCACTTCTCGTCCGGTATCTCTAATGTACCCATCTTTACGGCCATGTTCAGTGTTTCATGGCCAACAACAGCTACATGTCAAGTCCTTTAGGCGACGAGCTCGCCCTGCCAACTTGTGTGGGGGTCCGCAACTCTCCGTAGGCTGCTTGCCGATATGTTCTCCACACCGGCTGTTACAGTCTACCACGTTGCATGCTCATCACCGTTGATTGAGGCCTGGCGTTGCTTAGTAAACGTTTGCGGAAATTCAGACTAAGGTGAGTGTTGCGTGTTCCAATCATTGTGCTCGAAACTCTTTTCTCTCTCAGGGGATCACGCTTCTCGCCCAGACGACCCGTGAGGAGGCCCCCAACCAGAGAGCCGCTGAATACGTGCGGCGGATATCGGAGTCGTTGAAGGGAAAGGCGCAGGTAGAACCGGCGCGGGTTGGGCTGGCTATTCTAAGGGGGGTAAAATCTGTCTTCTTGCTCGTGTCTGGTGCAAATTGGCGCCATTGGTAGGGCGGTGGTGGTGGGGTAGTGTGGAATCCATTGCATGGCCGTTCTGTTGGTTCAAGACGAAGGGATTTGGTCGGTGTTACCGATGAGGAACCGATGTTAATCAGGCCGTGTTATTCGGCCATTCGCCGCACAGGTGGACCGTGTGGAACAGAACAAAAGGATGAGGAGGCACGTCGGTTCACCTTTGGCTGCTCGAAAGCGTTTCTAATTCTTGGGGGCATTGCCTAATGAGGATTTTGGCCATAGTTTCAGTATGAGTCCACTTGGAGCTTAGAAACCGATCCCTGATGAATCATTTCGTTCATCTCCGCACTCCCCACCCACTATACGCACAGCCAACTGCATTTCTTGTATCGCTTTGTTTTTTCAGCACGACAGCAACGTGGGGCTAAGCTCGATGGAGGAGCAAAGCTGGCTGAAAAAATGCCCGCGGACAGTACTGCTATACTTGATGCGCTTCGCCTACACGACGTGAGCTGTCCTTGGTCGTGGATGGTGCATGGATTGGGTTATTCTATAGCTGGTTGTTTCCCTGATGTTGGCTGTTGAACTTGGAGGTTGGGTACTGCAGGGTTGCTGCTGTGGCGTCCTGCTCTCGAACCCGCATTCTACGTGGCTTTTCGTCGGTGTTCATGTTGGCCGTACCGAAGTTTGTATTGTTGAGCTCGTCGCCTTCCGTTGAGACCCACATGCGTGTATCCGGAGCGTTCGCAAGCATTTTTCGTCTTTTCTTTTTGGCCCCGATTGTTGACTGTTGTGCTCTGCTTCTTTCCTCATCGACGACGATAGGCGCGGCGAGAAACTGATCCACGATGTCTACATCCCCAAGGAGATCGATATGGCGCCGTACATCGGCCCACCTACCAGCAGAGCCGGAGGTAAGATACGTCACACCACCAGGATATTCAATTCACCAGTGCCCACGCCAGAGTGGAATTCCACCTTTCGTCTCGGATCATGCAAGCCAACACGATTTCCCAACATTTTCTCGCCTCAAACCTCATTGCCCTCACCGCCTTCTGCTTTTGGCCCGCAGCCCGGCAGCCGGACATGTACGACCTCAACGGAGTCGTGCACCACATCGGCCAAACGACCAACAAGGGGCACTACGTTGCCTTTGTCCGCCTGCCTGGAGAGGGGTGGCTTCGATACGACGACGCCAAAGTCACCGGAGTTACCGACAGTGACGTGCGGACCCAGAACGCGCTCATTCTGTCGTACACTCGCCGATCAGGCTAGGCGCAGTGGTGTAGACCTCCTCAAGGTTTCGTCGTTGCAGCGACACATGACGACCTCTGATCCGGTACGGTACTTCGGCCTTGCCGAGTAGTCTCTCGGTTGATACGACGGTGCTGTTGGTTGATGATGACGTAGGTCGGCGAGGCCATCGTTGTCGCTCGAGTGGTGGTTGGTGCGCGTTGCGATCCGCAACCTTTAACGATGACGACAGGGTCTGGTGTTGACCGGACTGGCCGTACTCCTCTCGTTTGCCTTTTTGGACTTGCCACACGCAAGAAGTCGGAAAAGGTTGGTGTGATTCAACCAAATAGGTTGAGCACACGAGGACCGAGTGCGGGGCTGCTGCCAAACGAATGGGCGGATGAGGCAATCATCTATGGTTGTGCGCAGCAGTTGGCTTGCGCCGAACGTGGTGGCTGCCAACACAATCGAAGGGCCACCAATAAAATCAGCCAAAATACCAGTTCCAAATCAAATGTGGGACAGGCGCCCAACTGGACAGCGGTTACGCATATATAGGGAGTCAACATGATACGTACTCTCGAAGCCCCTCTTGATGACTAAAACACCAACACTTGCACATGGTGAACTCTTGCTCAGAATAGCCATATCAATGCATGTACATCCCTCGTGAAAAATAATGAGGCATTATGCCACCCTTCGCACGGTATTCTTTTGCTAGTACCCGAAATGGTAAAAGCAACAAGCCCCCCGTTTAAATAGAAGGAAGGTACAGGGAGATGTTTGAGGCATGGGATATCCAGGAAAAGACGGTCGGCAGCCGCACTGGGCCTAGGGAGTGGGTTGAGTAGGCGGGAAGTGAAATCGATAGAAAAGATAGACTAGGACAGGCATTTTCGAGCCACCTTTGGAAAAGTAGGGAGGGACGATTGGCCACCGGTGATCGGTCCTTTGGGAACAATGCTCCGTCCTCTCGAGGACGCGTGGTCAATGGTCTAACCGCTAAAGCATGCAAAACATAATAAGAGTACACACCCCTGTTCAAATATATATACACCCACGAGCGGATCAACTCAATACGAGTGGAGAATTTGCGCTCGACGTCAAGTTCCCGCATTCTCGAAAATACCTCTTTGTGGTTTCACAGACAGTTTTTGTCGACGGCAGACTACCAAGAAGTGTGTACAGAAAGCACAACATCATCTGCAACAGTGGGAATCACCAATAGTCTACTTGTGAATCTCTTTGAGACCACAAAACCACCAAGCCGACAAAAAATACCCGCGCGGCGACTAAACCTCAAAACCATACCCACCCGGTCGACAAGAGGGGGGGCGCGCGGGGCATTGCACCATCGTGCCGCGCAAGTATACATACTCAGTTTTTCCAAACACAGTGTGCCTACGTCAGTAGTGGCAAACGCTGCGTTCAAGTGGGCATCAACTTTATCTTCACCCTCGCGCTTCGTGGTCGCTGGAAACACGCTTGGTACGGTGTAGCCATATGACAAATTTCGGCGCGATAATCATCATCATCATCCACACCACATCTTCTCGAATGAAAAGCCCAAGGCAGCATCACGCCTCTACGGTTTTGAACGCCTAAGTAGCTAAGGGTGTTGCGTTCGCCTCTTGGCTTGCCGCTCATCGCTTTCCGGCATTCTTCTAGTACGCATTACTTCATCAACCAAAACGTTTCGGGGCGCGTTTACGCCCCCTCGAACATGCGTCCGCCCCGGCTTCTCTCCCTCCTCCTCCTCCACCACCTCCTCCTCATCTGTATCCCCCTTTCCTCGACCCCTCCCCTCCGTCTTCCTCACTGCCCTGTCCCCCTCTTCGCTGGACGCCGTGTCTACTCCACGCAGATGCACAATTTTCAATATTCTCCCTACAAGACACGGTGCCCCCTTTGTATATAGGATTTAGGATTTAGAATGGTCTAGGTTTGTCTACCTTTTGTTATCGTGTTTGGGGGGGGGGGGGGGGGGGGGGGG